CCTGAGTTAAGTCATCCATAACTACTGGATCCGAGCCCACCACAGACTAGACATGGAAATTCTGGTTCTCCAATTTCAACAGAGCAATATTCCACCACCCATGCTCCAGGGCATCTTGGCATCCCCACTAGGGAACTGCCTCACAGAGTGGGTAAAACTGCACCTTGGATATGAGCCAAAACAAGTACATAAGCTGTTTTCCAGATTCTGATAGAGATCAATGATCCCAGCAAGATGACTGAATACCACTAGTGATAGTAATTGTGCTATATTATGATGTTACCTTGGAGGCACACACCTGTAAACACAAATTTTTTTTTTTTTTTTGCTGTCAACCTCACAAAAAAGAACAATGAGATACCCTAAGTAATTTGCTTACAGTGATTTTACTCACTGATTGGTGGCAGAGATGAAATGAGATTGTAGCTACTTAATAACCCGTAGCAGGGCTCTTTGTATAGTGGAACAAGAGGTTAAAGGAGCAGTACAACAAAACCGTATTCATTTTCTTCCTTGCTACCTACCATACTGTCGCCTCTTGCTGAATCTCTAGGGTATGAGGGCTGGGAAGGCAAGGGCTTGCACTTCTTCCCTCCTGTCTCTGGAGTACCTCTACCCAGAGTGTAGTAAATGCTGAAGACAAAATTTCAAGGGCAAACTATTACCAGAGTTGATTAATTTCATAAATTAAAAACTAGAGTAGTCAGTGTTGTGTAAAGAAGTCTTTAAAGTTTAAGCAAGAATTTAAGCCATTGTAATAAATAAATTATGGCTAAAATGGGAAGTAGTGAAAGGCTACTACTTCAGAGTGATTATAAGCAGGGAATCAAGATAGGACTAAGAAAACCCAGTACAAGTGGCTCCGAAAACAACAGGGTGCTTCTACCCTGAATTACACCCTTGAATTCACTAAAGAGTCAAATGTTATTATATATTCTTTGTGAATAACAAAGGAGGCGGAAGTAACTTTTTTTTTTCTTTTTTTGCTTTCCACCCTGCCACACAGGTTCAGTCAGCATTTTAAATTTAGGGAACTAGCCGGGTTCGGTGGCTCAGCCTGTAATCCCGCACCTTTGGGAGGCTGAGGTGAGTAGACTGCCTGAGCCCGCGGGTTCGAGACCCACCTGGGCAGGCGAGACCTCATCTCTGCAATAAATCAAGAAATTAGCCGGGTGTGGTAGCGTGCGCCTGTAATTCTGGCTACTTGGAAGGCTGAGGCGGAAGAATGTCGAGGCTGCAGTGGCCGGGAGCGGCCACTGCACTCCAGTCTGGGCGACAGAGTGAGACTCCAACTCAAAAAAAAAAAAAAAATTTAGGAGACTAATGTCAGTTCAAGGATTCTACAAGTTATAATGTTCTTTTGTTTATCAGCAAAGTAATATACCCCTTTATTTTTAAGTGAATAAAAGGAAATTGCTTACTTACTGTTATAGTTTACCTTGAAATCAACTTCAATAGGTATTACAGTAATATACCACAAGTTTGAACACTGAAGATTCAAATGCTGAATTTAGTTTGCCTAATATTCCTACTTTTCAAGTTTTATATTTTAATATATATTAACCCATAACACTACTTTCTGTATGTATTATCACTTCCATCTGGGAATCTCAGAGAATGTTGTAATTATTCATATACAGTCCCATAAAAAAACTCCTCATTTTTTTGTTAAAGGAAACATTAAAAACTTCTTAGAGGGAAAAACATATTAGAAGGGAAATGGAAAATTATGGGCATATAAGTGGAATGTTAATATAGGAATATGTTATGTAGGAAACTATTTAATAGGAAGAGAATCCTCAGATGCATGGACTTCAATGAATGTGTATGGCTCAAATGAATAGCATAGTTGAACAAATTAAGACATTTACCCTGTGCCACATGGCTAATGAACTGTGAGAATCTAGACTCTCATAGAACATGAATGTGATATTTGCTGCCATCGGACAGGAAGTCCAGAGACCTGGATTCTGGTCTCAGGGTTACTACCAACTCTGGGGCCCTGGAAAAACTACTTTTCCTCTGGGGTCTTGGCTTCCTTTAGGCTCTCAAAGGTCCCTTCCAGTTGTCTATTCACGAGTTGATGCCTGCTGCCTCCAGGGAATCTAGAAGACTTCATCCAAATCTGTGTGCTATAGACTTCATTAACCAGCCACCATGGCAACTTCAGGGCTATCCTAGGATCTGCTCCTGGTTACCATCACTCAAGTGTACCCAAGAGGAGGCCCTCTCCGCCATGAGGCCTGTAACCCTAGCCTCTTCATTTGCAGTGGCAACTTTATTTCACAGTTCAAGTACATAATTAAACTTTCCTACAGTATAAAGAAACTTGGAGGTGTAAATCACAAAGAGACATGAGTCTCAAGCAGAGGTACGTGTCATTCCCAAGTCAGTGTGGTTAAGGTTTGGAATTCAGTATTGAACAAGTTAGCTTCTTCCTCACCAGTCCTGCTGATGTCTCCAGGAATCCTTGCCCCTCTCTTCTCCAAAGCACTAATGAGACAATAGAGCTAGGGTGGTGACCGTGACAGTAAGCAGAGTAGAGGCCTGGTAGAAGGGATGGCCCAGATAAACTTGATAGGGTAGTGGCAGGTCTGGTCACATGATAACACTCAAAATCTACTTTTATTTTGTGTTGGGGGGAGGAGGGAGTTTTACATTGTCACAGAAAAGAACGACCTGTTCCACAATTACATGGCTAACATAATGACAAAAATGTGTCTGGGGGAGGGGCACAGCAACCACGCCATCATACGTGCATTGCTGGTCCCCTCTCCTCCCCCAGACCAGGGCTCCCTGAAGGCCAGGTTGCCGTGTTTTTAGCTAAGAACTGGCCAACAGTACACCCCTTTTTCTCCTTACTTTCCTACTTTCACAACTGGGGAGTGTGTGTTTTTTAAAAATAAAAGACCTCCAAGGAGCTTCCCAGAAATCCAAACACCACAGTCATCCTCCCTCAGCCCAAATTTCCTTCCTCAGCCTTAGCTGAAAGGCTCAGCACAGCCATCTGCATATTAAAAGGAGTTCAACTTCATGGAATTTTCAGGGTCACCACTTCAACCATGACAACCGTGACAAAACTTATGCTTTACTGTTTAACTGCAATCAACGGAAATACCAAGGGCCCCCCACATGCGTAGTAATATTTAAACACACCTGTATGTGCTTCATAATAATTCTGGTGACTTGAATTGAGGAGGCATTTTGTCACACCCCCACTGAAAAGATTAGAGTATTAAGTGATGAAAGGACAGCATGGTTTGCCCAAAGTAACATCTGTAACAGGAGAGAAACCACAACCCTCATCTCCCAGCCCAACACTGGACTGTCACATGGAACAGACAAGTCATCCACCAGAATGAAGAGTTTTTACCTGGGCCAGAGGAATGTACAGGGATGGGAAATGGAAGACATATGTTGCAAAGACTAGACTTTGGCTGTGATAACATATTAATTTATGCAAGACAGAAGAGCAAAGAGAAGCCCTAGAAGATGAGAAGAAGACAACGTCATAAACTGAAAAGGATGGTGACGTTTAATCAAACACCCAGAAGACTCATTTATTTTTATTCCTAACCATACTAAGTTTCCACTGGGTTCAAGGCAAATAGGGTATTAAAAAAATGAAATGACAGGGCTTACCCCAAGACTCTGAAAGTCTGATATGGAAAAAAAAAAAGACTTTTGCATAGATAACAACAAAAGAAAAAAAATAAGAGATCCTGCAATACATGGTGGGGGAGGGGTGCAGCTAAAATATCCAACACAGTCATAGGGTGGGAGGGATTACTTTCAGCTTAGAGGGTAGAGGGCAGAAGAAGGGAATTAGGGAGAGTGTAACAGAGAAGGTGATATTTCAGCAAGTCCCTGACATTAAGAAAAAAAAGGTTTCCTAGAAACTTTTGTTTTCTAATCACAGAGAAGAGTGTGGAAGAGCACACCAAACTTCACAATACCTCTTAAATTACTCTTTGCCAAACTTCTTGAGAAAGCACTGGGAGATCCTGGATCTCTAGCATGTCTCTTTTTACTGCTTGCTTTGCAGAAAAACTTTGAGGCCTGGGTCAAAGGTGGACATCAGAAATAAAAGTTAGGTAGGTCCAGTCCACATCCCTTAGAATATCTCAGTCTTATTAAAGTGTTCTGGCTGTTACAGGAGAACTCTAAGGCTCTGGTGAAAGTTAAGATAAGAGTTATTTTTATATCTGTTTGCTGATTCAGAACATCTCCCCTGAC